GCTGCAGGAGCATTAGTCAGCCCGAACAGCATTACAGTATATTCAAAATGACCATACCTAGCATGGAAAGCTGTCTTAGGAATATCCTCCTCCTTAATCCTCAGTTGATGGTATCCTGTGCGACGATCAATCTTGGAGCAATACTTAGAACCCCTTAGCAGATCGAATAAATCATTAATTCATGGCAATGGATATTTATTTTTCATTATCACTCAATCAAACCTTTGGTAGTCCGTGCATAACCGAAGTATTTCATCATGCTTCTTCACAAAGAGGACGGGGGCTCCCCAAAGTGAAGTGCTTATATCAAACTGCTTCCTTAGCTCCTTCAACTCCAAAGATGTCATCCTATATGGAGCAATGGATATAGGTTCGATTCCCAGATATAGATCAATCGTAAACTCAATCTCTCTCTGTGGGGGTAACCTAAGTAATTCATTTAGAAAGACATCCAAAAAATTTGACACTATCAATACTACGTTAGATTGGGATTTATCTCGATCATTTTCCATTAAGTTGGCTAAGAAACTCAAATGGCTCCCTACCTTAGTTTTCAAGAATCTATTACTCGTAGTGGAAAATGGGTGAAAAAAATTTTGATCATTAATGAAATTGAAAACTAGCCCTCCCGACAATTGAAATAAGATCTGTTTACAAAAATAATCCATTACCGCATGGAAGGTGGATAACAAGTTTATCCCAAATATTATGTTATAACCCTTTATATTGAATGCAACCAAGTCTATAATTAATTCTTGCTCCCCAATTCAAAGCACACAACCTCTACACACCCTTCTAGTATCCAACTGTTCTCTTGTAGGCATGTCAATATGCAAAGTATGTTCTAGATTCTCAAATTTCAATCCCAATTTAATAGCATATGTAGTGCGTATGAAGGAATGAGTAGCACCAGAATCAAATAAAATTTGGGCCCAAGAATTATAGAGAAGAACAATACCTTCCATAACTGCATTGGAAACATCATCCTCCGGTTGGGTCAAAGCAAAAACTTTTTCTTGATTGGTACCGCCTGGGGTTATAGCTCCTAATGATTTCTACTATACTGGCTTTTATAATGGTGGCTTATTTGCATTTCCATGTCCTACCGTCTGGGTATTCTTCTGGGGTGAAAAGATCGGGCAATGATTCTGAATATGCCCCAGACCTCCACACGCAAAGCAAGCTCGTGGGTCTACTCCTACCCTCCCTAATAGTCCTCCAACTCCTTGAGCTCTCTGAAATCTCTGTCTAACCACCTGGTCTGGGCAACGACATGTTTTCGGCCTCTGCACTCCACTACTCCTAGCATCAATCCTGATCAAACCTCCCCTCACAAAGTTTTGTCGTCGCTGGTTGTCCTCTGTGTCTATCTCCACTAGTGCAGCTCTGTCAACAAGATCCTCATAGTCCTAGATCTTGTAAGCCACAAGCTTCTCTCTAATGGTAGGCCTTAAGCCTTGCTCAAATCATTTAGTCCTCCTGGCTTTAGTAGATATGAACTCCAAGGCATAGCGGAATAGCTCATCAACCTTTCTCTCATAATCCACCACCGTCATGCTACCCTATCTTAGAGCCAGAAAATTTGTACTCATTTTATCTCTGATCGATTCAGAAAAATACTTGTCTTAGAAGATCTGATCAAAATCCTCCTAGGTAATTGCATCAGTGTTCCTCCTTCTTTTCACCGAGTCCCACCAATGATCTGTCTCCCCTTGCAGCAGATATGTAACTAGGCTGACCCGCAGATCCTCTACAATTCCTATGCTATCACAAATTTTCTTCACCCTGCGAATCCACTTATTTGCATCTAAAGGGTGAGGGCTTCCTTGGAAAGTTGGTGAGCATTGCTTAAAAATTTTCTAAGAACTATCATCCTTCTGTTCTCGTCCCCACTGTCCAGTACAAGAGCTAATGGTTGAAACCCCCCATTGTGGTTGTTGTTTCCATTCTGGTGTTGTACCAGAGTGGTTAGCTCCTTTAGGCATTGATAAATGTCATTCATGGCATTGGGAGGGGGTGGTGGTGGGTTTTCTTGACCTCCACGTCCACGTCCACGTCCTCGTTCACCGTCCATTCTGCACATCAATTTACAATTTAGTTTCCTTAATATACTTGAAACCCTAACTATCACTTTTAATCTAAAGCACAAGGCTTGTATAAGATTTAAATCAATAATTTCATTCAACCTACTCCTACTTCTCTAGTGATAATCCATAATCTACAGCTCCCTTGCAAGACCTAATTCCTAGACTTTGATACTAAACCTGTAATGCCCCAAAATCCACCTTGGAAGGCATTACTATCTATAATCATTCATAAAATGAGAGCAACTAACAAAATTTATAAGTAAACGAATTTCCATTCAACATCCATAATAATTAAAACATCATCCAAAATAAATATGCCAAACTATGGCAATTACATCCCAAAAATCAATTATTATCTTGTAGCAGAATAAATAAAACATTAGCCTTAAAATTATCTCAAAATGTATCTCCCAATCTAGAACATAAAGGAAATAGTTAAAATCCAGTTAAAAACCATTTTAACATTATCTCAAAATGTTGATTAAATTTTTCAATTCCAATAGGTTTTTTGTGATGCTGATGTTGCGATAAAAACCATTAAAAATGGGGAAATCAAGCCCAAAGGTAAGCATATTGAGTTACAATATCACTATATAAGTGATATAATATAATAAGAGCAAATAACTATTGATTATCTTTATACAAAATGTATGGTTGCAGATCCATTGACAAAACCTATTGGAACTGAAGAATTTAATCGACATGTCATTGTTATGGGTTTAAGTTATGAATTACCATTTTGGGTTTGTAGCCAAGTGAAAGATGTTGGAATACGTGGCTAAAATCCCTCAATATTAATTATGCCACAATTGGTGGTCAAATTCGAAATATATAAAACTCAAATCCGTTAGTTAAATATTACATTATTTATGACATATATCATTGATGCATTTTTTGTGAAATTATTATATATAAAATATTATTTTATAATGGTGCAGGCATACATATATATTACATTGATATAATTAGATATTGAATATAATTAAATGTTTGAGTTTGATCTTTTCTAGTCAGCATGTGTGACTTGACTAGAGGGACCCATCAAGTAGTGAAAGACTAGTCAATACTACTATAATATAATTATCCTTCTTTAATTGTAGAGGGTTGAGGAAATATTGGTGGAGTTGAGAAAATATTAGGGGAGTTGAGGATATTATGCTGAGTGGTAACGGCTAGTTGAACGACTAGCTGATATACCCAAATTTTGTTTAAGAACTATCAATATTATTTTTTGTCTATATTTAGATATTACGTGGTAAGTTTATGATAAAAAATCGTTAACAATATGAACACTGTCTTCTTGAAGGACCATATAAAAGCATATTCAATACTTCATAGACTAAAATGATACAATTAAAACATTGAGGACCAGAATAAGACAAATCTCATACTTTGGGGGATCTCTAGTGTAATAAACCATTTTATTTGTATACAAAAAGCCAAAAAAGTTAGAAAGTTTACCCAAACGTGCTTTTTCAACTTTATCAGTTTTTTTAAGTACATTTCAAACGTTTCGAGAACATTTTAAAAATCGATTTTTTCACTACATTTTCAAACTTTTGATTCACACCAAAGAATCAGCTCCAAACGAGCCTATTGTTTTTCTAAGTGTGTACGTTATTGGTAATTTTTGTCAACAAAAAATTATTTATTCATATCAAATTTCTACTTGGATAAGTTATATTTGTATAGTTTGTCCTACATTAATTCAAAACTCCATCAATAATAGATTTGTGTGGAAATTTTATTAGTTTTCTTGACCATCAATTACATTTAATTAATAGTTTTGTAACTAATTTGATAACCACCTTTTGTGATATTATATAATAACACTTTATAAATTGACTATTTTTAGTAAATATTTATAGAATTTTTTTTTGAAATCCAATTTTTTTGGCAAGCATAGAATAATAAAATAGATTACTACAATTTAATTGGACCCACCATTTTTCCTAGTTCTGTTAAAAAATAAACTTATGCCAAAACAGGGACAATGATAAGTAAAACAAACTTGTCAAGTTTGATTGATATTGTTCTAGAGTATAAGCTTGGACAGACCAGTCAGGTTGTGGATGCCTTAAGTAGGAAGGCAGAGCTGATGACATTTAAGTGTGAGGCAGTGGTAGTCACCACCAGGGTCACGAGTACCCTACTGCATTGTATTTGAGATGGACTTGTAATCCTAAATATTTTTTGTAAAAAAAAAAAATCTAAAAGATTAAAATGGAATATATTAAAGCATTAGGAGTTTTTGAAATTATGTATAAAAAATAAGACTTAATTTTCATGTTAAGAAATTTGATTAAGTGAAATGGTTTTTTCTTAAAAAGAATAAAATTCTATTAGGGATTTTCCAAATTATAATTTCACTTTAAACAATCGTATCATTAGAAGTGTGAATCGAGTCGAGTTTTACAACCTTAAGCTTGAGTTTGTTGAGCTTACATTTGTAAACAAATTTAAAAAATTGTTTAAATTTGATTTATTTAAAAAATGAGCTAAGTTGAACTCGAGCCCAAGCTCAATTTTGTGAGTTCGAGCCAAATTTTTTAAATTTATTTACAAAAATGAACTTACATAATTATTCATCGTTATTCGTACTCGTACCAAGGCCAAATAATTCGTCACAATTAACACCCGACGTATAGTGTATTGTAAAACAATTCCCACCCCAAAAACACAGAGAGAGAGAGAGAGAGAGAGAAGGGCACTTTTGGTAACCAAGAAAAAACAGGGGTTTATGGAGGGCTTTAACCAAACAAAAGTCTCAAAAAACCGCTTCTTCTTGTTCGAGAAGCTTGTGTCAATGGCGGTTCACCGCACTTCTTAAATTAAGCCAACCTACCCTAAAACCCTAATCAAAACATCCCAGTCTCTCTCCTCAATTTTCCATCTCTCCCACCCATGTTGAAGGTCCTTACATCTTCATGTCGATTCCACACAGTAACATCGACGTTACAGTCGAATAGTCGCCATGTGGCTGAGTCGAATTCGCCATTGCTCCGAGTTTTGGGCTCTCTCGGAGGCTCGAATCAGCGGAACTCTTATTTATCCCGAAGATTTTTCTGTTCGGACTCCACTGACGGGTCCGAGGCTGAGCCCGGGTCAGAGGCTAAACGGGTCGAAGTAGCAGGTGAAGAGGCCGATTCCAATTCTTCTTCGGCCATTGTACCCACTGTATTCAAACCTGAAGATTGTCTCACGGTCGGTGTGTTTATGTGCACATAAAGTTTCTACTTTTTTTATTTATCTTTGTTTTCGAACTATTTGTTTAAGTTAAAAAATGTAGTCTTATACTCATAATTACGATTAATTCGGAATGTCATTTATTTATTTTTCCATATTCCTTATTGTTTTTGTCATTTTCAAAATCAAAGAAACGATTTTTTCTAGTTTTTTCTTATTGAAAGTAGTGGACAATTGAATGGAAGCTGTTAGTTTGATGCACTATTGTGATTTTAAACGATTGTCTATTATATACATTGCATTGTGTTTCGACTGAAATGGGCTTATTGGATTAATGATAGAAGACACTTTGGTTACAGGTTGAGTGTATACTGAGTCTTATATGGGTGTAAGGAGGAAAAAGTTTGTATCTTTGCTTTGTATGATGTGGAAAGGAAAAGTTTGTGTGGTGTANTTGTAGCCAAGTGAAAGATGTTGGAATACGTGGCTAAAATCCCTCAATATTAATTATGCCACAATTGGTGGTCAAATTCGAAATATATAAAACTCAAATCCGTTAGTTAAATATTACATTATTTATGACATATATCATTGATGCATTTTTTGTGAAATTATTATATATAAAATATTATTTTATAATGGTGCAAGCATACATATATATTACATTGATATAATTAGATATTGAATATAATTAAATGTTTGAGTTTGATCTTTTCTAGTCAGCATGTGTGACTTGACTAGAGGGACCCATCAAGTAGTGAAAGACTAGTCAATACTACTATAATATAATTATCCTTCTTTAATTGTAGAGAGTTGAGGAAATATTGGTGGAGTTGAGAAAATATTAGGGGAGTTGAGGATATTATGCTGAGTGGTAACGGCTAGTTGAACGACTAGCTGATATACCCAAATTTTGTTTAAGAACTATCAATATTATTTTTTGTCTATATTTAGATATTACGTGGTAAGTTTATGATAAAAAATCGTTAACAATATGAACACTGTCTTCTTGAAGGACCATATAAAAGCATATTCAATACTTCATAGACTAAAATGATACAATTAAAACATTGAGGACCAGAATAAGACAAATCTCATACTTTGGGGGATCTCTAGTGTAATAAACCATTTTATTTGTATATAAAAAGCCATAAAAGCTAGAAAGTTTACCCAAACGTGCTTTTTCAACTTTATCAGTTTTTTTAAGTACATTTCAAACGTTTCGAGAACATTTTAAAAATCGATTTTTTCACTACATTTTCAAACTTTTGATTCACACCAAAGAATCAGCTCCAAACGAGCCTATTGTTTTTCTAAGTGTGTACGTTATTGGTAATTTTTGTCAACAAAAAATTATTTATTCATATCAAATTTCTACTTGGATAAGTTATATTTGTATAGTTTGTCCTACATTAATTCAAAACTCCATCAATAATAGATTTGTGTGGAAATTTTATTAGTTTTCTTGACCATCAATTACATTTAATTAATAGTTTTGTAACTAATTTGATAACCACCTTTTGTGATATTATATAATAACACTTTATAAATTGACTATTTTTAGTAAATATTTATAGAATTTTTTTTTGAAATCCAATTTTTTTGGCAAGCATAGAATAATAAAATAGATTACTACAATTTAATTGGACCCACCATTTTTCCTAGTTCTGTTAAAAAATAAACTTATGCCAAAACAGGGACAATGATAAGTAAAACAAACTTGTCAAGTTTGATTGATATTGTTCTAGAGTATAAGCTTGGACAGACCAGTCAGGTTGTGGATGCCTTAAGTAGGAAGGCAGAGCTGATGACATTTAAGTGTGAGGCAGTGGTAGTCACCACCAGGGTCACGAGTACCCTACTGCATTGTATTTGAGATGGACTTGTAATCCTAAATATTTTTTGTAAAAAAAAAAAATCTAAAAGATTAAAATGGAATATATTAAAGCATTAGGAGTTTTTGAAATTATGTATAAAAAATAAGACTTAATTTTCATGTTAAGAAATTTGATTAAGTGAAATGGTTTTTTCTTAAAAAGAATAAAATTCTATTAGGGATTTTCCAAATTATAATTTCACTTTAAACAATCGTATCATTAGAAGTGTGAATCGAGTCGAGTTTTACAACCTTAAGCTTGAGTTTGTTGAGCTTACATTTGTAAACAAATTTAAAAAATTGTTTAAATTTGATTTATTTAAAAAATGAGCTAAGTTGAACTCGAGCCCAAGCTCAATTTTGTGAGTTCGAGCCAAATTTTTTAAATTTATTTACAAAAATGAACTTACATAATTATTCATCGTTATTCGTACTCGTACCAAGGCCAAATAATTCGTCACAATTAACACCCGACGTATAGTGTATTGTAAAACAATTCCCACCCCAAAAACACAGAGAGAGAGAGAGAGAGAGAGAAGGGCACTTTTGGTAACCAAGAAAAAACAGGGGTTTATGGAGGGCTTTAACCAAACAAAAGTCTCAAAAAACCGCTTCTTCTTGTTCGAGAAGCTTGTGTCAATGGCGGTTCACCGCACTTCTTAAATTAAGCCAACCTACCCTAAAACCCTAATCAAAACATCCCAGTCTCTCTCCTCAATTTTCCGTCTCTCCCACCCATGTTGAAGGTCCTTACATCTTCATGTCGATTCCACACAGTAACATCGACGTTACAGTCGAATAGTCGCCATGTGGCTGAGTCGAATTCGCCATTGCTCCGAGTTTTGGGCTCTCTCGGAGGCTCGAATCAGCGGAACTCTTATTTATCCCGAAGATTTTTCTGTTCGGACTCCACTGACGGGTCCGAGGCTGAGCCCGGGTCAGAGGCTAAACGGGTCGAAGTAGCAGGTGAAGAGGCCGATTCCAATTCTTCTTCGGCCATTGTACCCACTGTATTCAAACCTGAAGATTGTCTCACGGTCGGTGTGTTTATGTGCACATAAAGTTTCTACTTTTTTTATTTATCTTTGTTTTCGAACTATTTGTTTAAGTTAAAAAATGTAGTCTTATACTCATAATTACGATTAATTCGGAATGTCATTTATTTATTTTTCCATATTCCTTATTGTTTTTGTCATTTTCAAAATCAAAGAAACGATTTTTTCTAGTTTTTTCTTATTGAAAGTAGTGGACAATTGAATGGAAGCTGTTAGTTTGATGCACTATTGTGATTTTAAACGATTGTCTATTATATACATTGCATTGTGTTTCGACTGAAATGGGCTTATTGGATTAATGATAGAAGACACTTTGGTTACAGGTTGAGTGTATACTGAGTCTTATATGGGTGTAAGGAGGAAAAAGTTTGTATCTTTGCTTTGTATGATGTGGAAAGGAAAAGTTTGTGTGGTGTAATTTGCCACAGTGGGGTTTAATTTTGGCACTATAGTCTACAAATGCAAATGTAGTTTTTGACTATGGGCTGAAGGTGGTGGCTATATTGATTTGTATGTTTTGAAGCTCTTCCTTTGTGAATACTGAGCATTGTTGATCAAGATTCCGACTTTCAGATATGTATATGAGAGGTATTGAATTGGTTGAGTGGAGAAATATAACCTGGTTTTTTCTGTATGTGTGAATTGAATATTTTTGACATTACTCTTTTATTGAAGACCAATATATTTCAGAGATTAGGGAACTAAAATGGGTGCATAGCATCTTTAAAAGAGAAAAAGCTAAAGAATGAAACTAAAGGGATAAGCATGACCAATTAGATTACAAGAATACAACAAACAATCAATAAAAGCGTCTTAGGATGACATGGTTCTCAACTCCCTGTAAATAAGAGGTAGAACCGTAGAAGTACCAAAAGAAATTTTCAATGTGACAAATAACTACCCATGGTTCAAGGTCACAGTATTAGCCATTAGCCATCAACTTGGAGAGTTTTGAGACACACTGATCGTGGTATTACAGCACGGTATCGAGTGATACGACGTAAAAGAAAATGTTGAATATGACGAGAAATTCAGGTTTTCTGCTATGCCGNAGACAAATCTCATACTTTGGGGGATCTCTAGTGTAATAAACCATTTTATTTGTATACAAAAAGCCAAAAAAGTTAGAAAGTTTACCCAAACGTGCTTTTTCAACTTTATCAGTTTTTTTAAGTACATTTCAAACGTTTCGAGAACATTTTAAAAATCGATTTTTTCACTACATTTTCANTCAGGTTTTCTGCTATGCCGCGGAATCGTTCCGGCCAATTCGGTGACAATATCTCGGCAACTCGGGACTGATTCCGATACAACTCGGACTATTCGACCGAGTCGTGCGAAACTCGGGATATATATGTATCATGTAACAATATCATCTCGGAAGGTGCTGAGTCGGATATGACTTGGCTGATCGGTATCAANCGCGGAATCGTTCCGGCCAATTCGGTGACAATATCTCGGCAACTCGGGACTGATTCGGATACAACTCGGACTATTCGACCGAGTCGTGCGAAACTCGGGATATATACGTATCATGTAACAATATCATCTCGGAAGGTGCTGAGTCGGATACGACTTGGCTGATCGGTATCGANTAGTTTTGTAACTAATTTGATAACCACCTTTTGTGATATTATATAATAACACTTTATAAATTGACTATTTTTAGTAAATATTTATAGAATTTTTTTTTGAAATCCAATTTTTTTGGCAAGCATAGAATAATAAAATAGATTACTACAATTTAATTGGACCCACCATTTTTCCTAGTTCTGTTAAAAAATAAACTTATGCCAAAACAGGGACAATGATAAGTAAAACAAACTTGTCAAGTTTGATTGATATTGTTCTAGAGTATAAGCTTGGACAGACCAGTCAGGTTGTGGATGCCTTAAGTAGGAAGGCAGAGCTGATGACATTTAAGTGTGAGGCAGTGGTAGTCACCACCAGGGTCACGAGTACCCTACTGCATTGTATTTGAGATGGACTTGTAATCCTAAATATTTTTTGTAAAAAAAAAAAATCTAAAAGATTAAAATGGAATATATTAAAGCATTAGGAGTTTTTGAAATTATGTATAAAAAATAAGACTTAATTTTCATGTTAAGAAATTTGATTAAGTGAAATGGTTTTTTCTTAAAAAGAATAAAATTCTATTAGGGATTTTCCAAATTATAATTTCACTTTAAACAATCGTATCATTAGAAGTGTGAATCGAGTCGAGTTTTACAACCTTAAGCTTGAGTTTGTTGAGCTTACATTTGTAAACAAATTTAAAAAATTGTTTAAATTTGATTTATTTAAAAAATGAGCTAAGTTGAACTCGAGCCCAAGCTCAATTTTGTGAGTTCGAGCCAAATTTTTTAAATTTATTTACAAAAATGAACTTACATAATTATTCATCGTTATTCGTACTCGTACCAAGGCCAAATAATTCGTCACAATTAACACCCGACGTATAGTGTATTGTAAAACAATTCCCACCCCAAAAACACAGAGAGAGAGAGAGAGAGAGAGAAGGGCACTTTTGGTAACCAAGAAAAAACAGGGGTTTATGGAGGGCTTTAACCAAACAAAAGTCTCAAAAAACCGCTTCTTCTTGTTCGAGAAGCTTGTGTCAATGGCGGTTCACCGCACTTCTTAAATTAAGCCAACCTACCCTAAAACCCTAATCAAAACATCCCAGTCTCTCTCCTCAATTTTCCGTCTCTCCCACCCATGTTGAAGGTCCTTACATCTTCATGTCGATTCCACACAGTAACATCGACGTTACAGTCGAATAGTCGCCATGTGGCTGAGTCGAATTCGCCATTGCTCCGAGTTTTGGGCTCTCTCGGAGGCTCGAATCAGCGGAACTCTTATTTATCCCGAAGATTTTTCTGTTCGGACTCCACTGACGGGTCCGAGGCTGAGCCCGGGTCAGAGGCTAAACGGGTCGAAGTAGCAGGTGAAGAGGCCGATTCCAATTCTTCTTCGGCCATTGTACCCACTGTATTCAAACCTGAAGATTGTCTCACGGTCGGTGTGTTTATGTGCACATAAAGTTTCTACTTTTTTTATTTATCTTTGTTTTCGAACTATTTGTTTAAGTTAAAAAATGTAGTCTTATACTCATAATTACGATTAATTCGGAATGTCATTTATTTATTTTTCCATATTCCTTATTGTTTTTGTCATTTTCAAAATCAAAGAAACGATTTTTTCTAGTTTTTTCTTATTGAAAGTAGTGGACAATTGAATGGAAGCTGTTAGTTTGATGCACTATTGTGATTTTAAACGATTGTCTATTATATACATTGCATTGTGTTTCGACTGAAATGGGCTTATTGGATTAATGATAGAAGACACTTTGGTTACAGGTTGAGTGTATACTGAGTCTTATATGGGTGTTGAAAAAGTTTGTATCTTTGCTTTGTATGATGTGGAAAGGAAAAGTTTGTGTGGTGTAATTTGCCACAGTGGGGTTTAATTTTGGCACTATAGTCTACAAATGCAAATGTAGTTTTTGACTATGGGCTGAAGGTGGTGGCTATATTGATTTGTATGTTTTGAAGCTCTTCCTTTGTGAATACTGAGCATTGTTGATCAAGATTCCGACTTTCAGATATGTATATGAGAGGTATTGAATTGGTTGAGTGGAGAAATATAACCTGGTTTTTTCTGTATGTGTGAATTGAATATTTTTGACATTACTCTTTTATTGAAGACCAATATATTTCAGAGATTTGGGAACTAAAATGGGTGCATAGCATCTTTAAAAGAGAAAAAGCTAAAGAATGAAACTAAAGGGATAAGCATGACCAATTAGATTACAAGAATACAACAAACAATCAATAAAAGCGTCTTAGGATGACATGGTTCTCAACTCCCTGTAAATAAGAGGTAGAACCGTAGAAGTACCAAAAGAAATTTTCAATGTGACAAATAACTACCCATGGTTCAAGGTCACAGTATTAGCCATTAGCCATCAACTTGGAGAGTTTTGAGACACACTGATCGTGGTATTACAGCACGGTATCGAGTGATACGACGTAAAAGAAAATGTTGAATATGACGAGAAATTCAGGTTTTCTGCTATGCCGCGGAATCGTTCCGGCCAATTCGGTGACAATATCTCGGCAACTCGGGACTGATTCGGATACAACTCGGACTATTCGACCGAGTCGTGCGAAACTCGGGATATATACGTATCATGTAACAATATCATCTCGGAAGGTGCTGAGTCGGATACGACTTGGCTGATCGGTATCGACTGATACTTTGATCCATGTATCTCTCTGTATCTCATATTTATCGGGAAAACCACAATTGTAAGTAATGTTTGCTTTGAAAATAAGTTAACATTCTTTGTTCTTTACTTGTGGAAGTGATTGATGTTGAGACCCATAGAGAACAAATAAGAGGCTTTAGATCTTGGTGGTTTCATGCCCAACTTTTCTTGAAGTTGATTTCTTACCTTCTGTTTTCTTAACTAAATCTATTCAATTGACTATCTTAGCCCTAGGATTGCTGAGGCTATGGTGCTCATTTTTCCTTTTTCTTTTGTTGCTGTAATATATTTATCACTTTCTTTTATTTTCCTATGCAGGTTTTAGCATTGCCATTGCCACACAGACCCTTATTTCCAGGATTTTATATGCCAATTTATGTGAAGGTATAGCAGCTTTTTTCTGGGTGCATTTTCTTCTAGATTCTATTTTTCCCTTTTTTCTTTTCCATGCCCTTATTTTCTGTGCTTTTGTACCTTACGCTTCCAGATTTTTATGCTTTACCAACAGATTTGGGGTTCTGTTTGTGTAAAAAGCTGAAGTCCTTGCTCTGTACAGTGAACTCTATTATATAACTTTTAAAGGCCAAAAGAATGCGCTGTATATGTAGGCAGCTCCAAAATGCTTCCATAGGATCACACACTTGCTGCACAATGATCTCATTGGCTGCAATGCCAGAACTGAATAATTTATTGTTTTGCTTTGTAGTATGCTGTCTCATGGATCTTAATTTGTGTCCAAAGCATTTGGTCATTCAGAAAAGCTAGTTTATATGATTAATGAAACTTTCATTAAGAAACACATGAAAAAATCCGAGTGCAATTTGAATTTTTATGAACTCAATACCATTCAATAACAAACTATGGATGTCTTTGTCTAAGATTTGGTTTGGTTTTATAGTTGCTGCATTGATGCACTGTGGTCTCTTTCACTGCTTGTGAGAAAATAGAAAGAAAAGGGGAAAGATGGAAAGAAAAAGAGAAAGAAACTTTTTTCATTTGCTTGGTGAATAGTGAAGCCATTTGGTCCTTGAATTCTTCTATAATTTTTTTCTTTACAGGATCCTAAATTATTAGCAGCATTAGTAGAAAGTCGGAAACGACAGGCCCCTTATGCTGGTGCTTTCCTTCTTAAAGATGAGCCAGGAACTGACCCTACTGTGGCATCTGGTTCAGATGCAGATAAAAACATAAATGAGCTCAAAGGTAAAGAGTTGTTAAACCGCCTTCATGAAGTTGGCACACTGGCTCAGGTAACTAATTTTGTGGACTGTTATATGTTAATATGATGCTGTAAAGTCGTTTGTCCCAGTTAAGAAATGCCTATTCATGACTATTGCTGTTTTGATATATTAGATTACAAGTATACAAGGAGATCAGGTCATTCTTATTGGTCATAAGCGGCTTCGAATAACGGAGATGGTGAGTGCGAGCCTGCTTGGTGTCCACAAAACTCTTATTCTTGAACTGTGGATATTCCTCTTATGCATGCATGCACACAATACTTTCAGTTTGTAGATTTAATATTAATCCATGGAATGCATAACTCCTCAGTGACACTACATTCCCTGCACTGAAATAATTGCATCCTTTGCAGGTCAGTGAAGACCCACTTACAGTCAAAATCGATCATCTCAAGGCATGCGTTGTTTATAATTTTTTGCCAAATGTGGATGATTTTTTCTATGGGTAATAGACTTCTTTTGCAATACTCCTCATTTTCCTTGTCTGATTCTTTATTTTGTCTCAGGATAAACCATATAATAAGGACGATGATGTTATAAAGGCCACATCATTTGAGGTTATATCAACCCTGAGAGATGTTCTGAAGACGAGTTCCCTATGGAGAGATCAGGTTCAAACATACACTCAGGTATGATTCTGTTCTTGATTTTGGGTTCTTTGTTTTCATATGGTGATTGTCTTTATTACTATTATTATGGTTTTACCAGCTCTCAAATAGCTTGTCTGTAAAAATTTTTCTATGTCCATTTTCAGTGCATCTAGTGACTAAATACTGTCTGAGTATGTTGATAGATAACCATTTGCCACCTGATATTGGGCTAGAGCCTTTCATCACATAGCCAAATGACCTGTCACGTGCCCTCATGTGCGGTCAATTCTGATTCTGCAAATGTTAAGTTTTCTTTGCATCAATTGTGTTTGTGTCTTCCTGGACCAAAACCATGGCTGAGTTCAATTTTTATAGTTTTCAGTTGAATCATAAATGGAGAAAGAAGAATAAGAAGATGAAGGATGAAGAGAAAAGGTTGGGTAGAGATTTAGTAGACAATTTCAAGGTGCAATTATGGGTTCAGTTGAATAAGAAAACCCAGAATGTTGTTGTAGAATCACTAATTGCATGTAAACGAAGTTTAAGGCTTGTAATGCAATAAAATGTGTAAATCATGTAGGCAATTAGTATGAAAAGTTTGCTGTGTTGAAGTGGAAGCCTTTATTTGAAAATTTTTACATGCTTTCTTTCTGGAGGAGGCCATTGGGTCCTTTTTGACCTGGGTATTATATAGACAATGTGGGAGGTGAACTAGAAATCCTTGAACCTTTTGGTCTTATAATCCTTGAACTAGAAATCCTTGAACCTATTATATAGACAATTTCAAAAGGGATCATTCTCGCAAGTCCACTCTTGAATAATGAGGGGTTTTGTTTGAGTTTCTATATAAACAATGAGCTTTGTTCTCTGAACACAAGACTAGAAAAATTATTGATGGGCATACTTGATATCATATTTTTTGATCTTAATTATGGTTATCTTTTCAATAGTGACTGTTGACAGCCCATCTTTATCAAATTTGCAATAAAATTTCTCCTTTTGAAGCTGAAACTAACCAGGTCACTGAAGTTTTATCCCTAGAAGGTAGGTGTTATACTTGAGGCCGTTAGTTTCAATTATTCTTGCTAATGTTCCTTGTATCTAGAGCGAAGTGTTAAAAAATGTTTCAGTACTCCCATACTAGTCTAGAAAAACTAAAAACTATATCTTCCACATGAGTCCGAGATGTTAGGCTTATTTTTGACCTTGTTAAAAAGTTGCTGCCTCATTTAATCACTTGGATGGAGAGCTTTTACGTTTTCTTTTGTGTTGTTTCTTTTGTCACTAAAATCCCTGATGCTTTCCTAGATGCTAAATTCTTGCTTGGGATTAATGAGTGCCATAGCAGGTTTTGTTGTGGAGGAAACCAGCACAATTACTCCTTTGGGCTTCGGTTTCAAAGGAGTTTGCAAATATCCCTCTTTTTGGAGAATTGGAAGGCTTGTCATTGATTGTTTGCTATCTTATGTTTTTTTCCCCACTATGTAATGCTTTTGATGGATTCTATCTTGGACGGATGACTTGTCCATCCATGAGTTTCAATTATACGATATCTTTTTAATTTTAATAAAATTGTGTTTCCTATTAAAAAAAAATCTTGGGGCGAAGACCAAGACCACCTTTCATTATATGATGTTATTCAAAAACCCAACTAACCAGATGATTTTACCATCACACTCTCGTGGGAGTGAGTTCTTTCTCTCCACTATAAAGTTTCTCTACAACCTTCAATCCTCATAGAAAAAATTAGGTTGCATGTTGAAGAGTAAAAAAATGAAAATCTAGTTGTTGAATGAAAACAATGAAAATTGAAACATACTGGATTGAATACAGGTAACCCTTCATTCTTGTAAATAGATTCCCCTCCCACTCCCAAAAATCCCCCCCCCCCCCAAAAAAAATACCACCCTTT